TGAGATTAAATCAATAAACAAAAATGATGAATGAGTAACAATAGCTAATAGTAAAATTTTAAGAGACTACGACTGTGAATGATTGATGGAATGAATAAATAATAATAGTAGTTAGCTGAATAATGATAATAAAGATTAAAAATATAATAATTCTATAAGTTATGCAGAATGAATAATAATAATTAGAAAATAACAGTGATAAAGTAAAAAAACAAAGACTGGAATTCCCAGACAATGGTCCACTTTGCCATCTATGTTGAACTTGGGGGGTACAGCCATGATAGCACTTTAAAATAACTTGACTTGTCTCTTGACTGCATGAAGGCACACTGAGCTAATGTTGAGTGTGTTGACTGCTCAGTAGTTAGATCTAGTAGTAGTCTGTTTTCTCATTATCACAGGCAATGGTTGCATGTTTACAAACGTTGAAGAGAATAGCTCAAGAGGATATCAGCTTATCTGTAGATCTCAACTGTCATAAAACACAGGCTAATATTATCGACATAGTAATCATAAGCAGAGGCGTATTTAGGGGGGGCTGAGGGGGCTTGAGCACCCCCCTCAGGGCTGGGCTCAGAAAAAATTACTGAAGTCCTGGACTCTTGCATCACTACCAAGCCTCTTAACAAAGTTATCTAGCCCCCTGATCATAATTTCAGCAGTTTCCAGTGCTTTAAGAAGCAATCAGAAGTACCAGTAACATAGCAGTATGCTTGAAATGATCTTGGCCCCACCCGTAATTGACGAAAATGCAGGAAAAGGCCATTTTACCGCCGTAAAAGTGGGTGTGGCCAAAATCGCGGCACGCTTCGCGCGCCCTTAGCACCCCCCTTCCCAATTCCTAGATACGCCCCTGATAAGCATCAGCTTACCTGCATGTACTGAAACTGCAAGGATGATAAAGTTCCTATCAAGACTCAAATAGAGCTGATAAATTTCTCTCCTGATGCATAGCTATCATTCTTGCAGAAAGATCCGTATAGTTTCCGTGTTGTTCCGTACTTCAATACAGATCCGCGAGCGTTCCGCGTTGATCCGCATTTCAGCCTGATCCGTATTTGATCCGCGTGGATCCGTATTTCAGGCAGGCCCAAAAAAGGTTGTCCCTAAAAAGCGGACCGGACCGGACCAACGGACCCGAAAAGACTAATTTACGGACCGAGCGACGGACCCAATCATAGATACTATACAAACTAATTTATTGACCCGACCAAGGGACCCGAAAAGACTAAAGTACGGACTCCGCGTTAATGATCACGGACCTGACCGACCTAGAGCATAGATATCTATGCTAGCATCAGTATTTATGATGCTAGCAAACTCCATGATGGCCTAGACAACATACAGAACTTAATTTAAAAATATAATTTTTATCTATGGAGATAGATCTACTATCAGTTGAGTAATAATACAATGCAGTGAGGCCGTAGTTTATTGATAGGAAGTGTCTAGAGCTCCGGTAACCGGACACAGTATGCAGTGCTAGAGCTCCGGTAATAGGGGCGTCGCCCCTATATATACTGGGGCTACGCCCCAGTATTAATAATACACTGATTTATATTATAGAAACCGAGTATAAATACAACAACCAGCGTTAATATGCAGTAGGGTCGTGGTGGTGCAGTGGAGAGGCTGGT